AACCAAAGCCCGTCTTCCGAGCACACGTGCTGAGGCAGGGGATAGGGAGAGAGCTGAGCTGAGCTAACCGGGGCCTAGCCAACTTGCTGTCTGGTTTTCACTTCTGGATCCTTTTGACTTCAGCTGGAGCTGCGGCTGCTCGGCACGTGGGAAGCAATTGGAGCTTTATCGTTAGTAATTTCAGCTGGAAGTGAGCTGGCAGGCAGAGCAGAGAGCAGCACGCTGGGCTGTCTGTCCTACTCAAAAGGCCCTATTACCCACTAGCTGAAGCTTGAAAGTGGCCGTGGGCATTAGCCCTAGGGACAGCACGTTGCAGTGATCTAGACTAGAGGTCACAACGGTCCAGATGATCACGGTCAGGTCTGAATCTGAGAGGAACGGTCAGCAAAAAATGAAGAGAGCCTCTGGCCACTGCCACTGTGTGGGAGTCCAGAGCAGAGAAAAGCCCAGGAGAAACCCAAGGCCTCAGGCTACTTTGACAATAGATAGGCCAGGGCCCTCAGCCGATGGAGCAGACACAGGCTTTGCCAGTTCCTCAAACTGCTTCCTCTTGCCAAGCAGCATTGCTTCCCTTTTATCTGAGCCGATGCCAGCGGGTTTCCAGCCAGGTCCCCGTCTCTGCCAGACATTGACCAGGCAGGGAATTGATCCTGTCCCAGCCCACGGGGAAGGAGTCGTAGAGCTGCATGTCCATGGAATAAGCAGTGCAATATTTTATTTCATCTTCAGCCTTTTCCCAAAAATGTCTAATTGCCTTTTAGAGAGACAAGGTGGGTGAGGTATTGTCTTCTATTGGGCCAGCTTCGGCTTGCGAACGAGACAAGCTTTCACGTTCTTCAGGCTGTTGCCTTTTGTTAATGAGGTTCACGGGCCACTTACCAGGGTAAGCAGGTTCTACAAGAAAACGGGAAAACGTTCTGTAACGAGAGGTGATCGGGTACCCAGGTGTAAATCAGGAGCAAGTCCGCTGAAGTAAAGTTACACTGATGTAAAACAGCATGAGCGGGAGGAGAATCAGGCTCCTTTGGACAGGTATAAATCCAGAGTAACTCCGCTGAGTTTGATTTACACAGTCGATCTGGTCCTCATTTCAATAGGAGAGAGGTATGTAAATTAAACAGAACAGCAGGCAAGGGAGAAAAGGGACATTTTCAGGTGCATTTTGAATGAGTATATAGGGCCAGACCCTCATCTAGTTTAATTCTGAGTAGCTCCATTGAGCTATGCTGATTTCCACTAGGTGAGGATTTAGCCTGGAGAACGGATGAGGTTGTTCCATATGGCTGAAGCTGCGGAGGAGACTTTAGTAAGGACAATGACAAGGCCGTAGAAAGAGACAGGGATGTGGAGACAGGAATAAAGAGAGAGAGATTGTTATTTGTATTGATCATTAGGTGAGATTCTTTCCTTCTTCATCTCACCCTTCTCTAGATGAAGTATTCAGCTACAATTGATTAAAGTGATAGTTCTAAAACCCAAGAGAAAACAAAATGTAACCGAAGAAGTGGGCTGTAGCCCACGAAAGCTTATGCTCTAATAAATTTGTTAGTCTCTACGGTGCCACAAGTACTCCTGTTCTTTTCGTAAAACCAAATCAACTAATGCGAAGTTAACTTAAAAACAAAGAAAATAGTAAGACTGAGCTCATCTGAGGCGGTTGGTACAGCCGTTTTGGGGCAGGTTGACCATTTTGAGATCTGAGCAGCTGCTGGCGGGAGGTTTGTTAGTTTTCTGTAGTATATTCATATATTCAGGGCTTGACTCTCCTCTCAGTTACCCTGCGGTAAATCAGGAGTAACATCACTAAAATCAACGCAGTGTAAAACCAGCCTCGGTGAGAGGAGAATCCGGCCAGCACTGAACTGAGGCCACATTAAACTGCGTTCTTGGGCCCTGACATGCTAAAAGTTTGTGTGTGTGAATGTACAGCTGGTGAAAGGAGCTGCACTGGCAGCATGGGAGACTGAAATCAGCAATTCACCCACTGAGCTGGTCAAATAAAAGCAATGGTAGTCCATGCTCCCCCCGTATCATATCAATGCCTGAGCTCTGTTTTAGAGGGGAATGCAGTGTCAGTCTGTTTCATGTATCTAGGTAAGTACGGCAAGGGCATCACCGCAGTATCTGAGTTCCTTCCACATTCTAAATGCAGGACTCCCTGCTCTGACTGGAGTGATTGTTTTTGGTAGGGGTGTTTTGTGTGTGGTCTCTATGGGGAAGCTAAGCTGAAGACGTGTTGTACGTTTCGTCATGGAGGTGCTGAAGTCCATGGTCGTTCTGATGTAACCTAAAGGCAAGCTCCCCAGTTGTGGGCTAGCTGTTGGGAAAACTCAGTTTCCATTTCTCAGAAGTCCATCGCCTGTTGAATCATTGGCCTCTCCTGTGACTGTAAACAGTGACAATGATGGAATTTGTGCTGTGGAGACTAATAAAGGGGTGGTACCCAGGAGACCTGGTAAGAGACTGATTTTCACTTTCCTGGCCCCAGTCATCTGACATGGTGTGATCTGACAGACTAGATGCCAGCTCAGGTCACAGCCAGGTCAGTTCACTTGTCTATCAGTATAGATCAAAGCAATTGTTAATTGTATGAGTGTGTTCGGCATTTAAACCGTATTAGCATAGATCAAAGCAAGATGTTTAAACTTCATGAAAACTAGTGGAATGTTATTTGTATTGTTTTCACTAACTGTTCCTGTTGTAACGTAACAGCAAACATTGACATATGTACACCCTGTATGTAAAAGGCCCCTCAAACTAGGAAGACGGCTTGTGAAATGCAAACGAAGAACTTTAGTGCTCAGGGTTGTGTGGTGATAGGATGTCAAAAGACTCCACATTCCTTCCTCCCTCTCCCTCACCAAAGGAAAAGCTCAGGTGGATAGAGACCCTGTCAGCATGTTTCCTGTCAGAAGAAGGTTTAAATATGGATACAAGGAAAGATCTTTTATCTCGGGATTGTTTTGGACTCTGACAGGGAAGTGTACCAGATGCAGAGTGGAGATCCCCAGAGAGTACCTGGGTTCCCTGAAAAGATTTTTGGAAAACTGGCAGTTTATTACATCTCTGCCACCATTTGGAATTAAAAACTGTGACTCACCTGTTAATATATTTTACCTGCTTTAACCTCTCAATAACTCTAATTTCTTTTTTTAACTAATAAACTTTTAGTTAGTTTACTAGAGAATTGGCTGCCACTGTTGTCTTTCATGGAAGATCTGATTAGTAGCAATTAATCTGGGGTATGTGACTAGTCTCTTGGGACTAGCAGCAACCTGATGTGGTGTGATTTTTGGTTTGAGTTACCTTTTATTACACAGTCCAGTTTGTCTGGATGGCAAGATAGGCTGGAGAGTCTGAGGGGACTGTCTGTGATTCCATGGTGAGACTATTACAGTGATCCAGGAGTTCACATTTGTCATGGGCTTGGTGAAATCTAACCAGTTTGGGCCGTCTGCCCTGTTTTCTGACAGTGGAACCTGAAAGAGGCACTCACAGTTGTGAGCCACTCCAGAGAGCACAACACATGGGTCAGGGTTACAAACAGTTAATACCTTTGTCATGTGGTGGGGGTCAGCATCCAATGGCTGTGTTACAGACACCTACACTCTGAGCATTGGCTTGAGACATCCCAATATAAGCCTATCCTATCTCATAGAACTGGAAGGGACCTTGAAAGGTCATCAAGTCCAGCCCCCTGCCTTCACTAGCAGGACCAATTTTTTTGCCCCAGATCCCTAAATGGCCCCCTCAAGGATTAAACTCACAACCCTGGGTTTAGTAGGCCAATGCTCAAACCACTGAGCTATCCCTCCCCACCATTAGCCAGCCGCCTGATGAGAAAAAGTTTTAATTACTATCAACCTGGTTAGATTTGCACGGGTGACTTATAAGTGAAAAACCCTATGATCTCATTAGTCTTCCTCTTAGCCCCTAGGACTTGCTATCCGATACAGCCTCGGAGAATGCCTGGCGCATCCACCTTGTTACCAAAGGTAATGATCACTGTCTATTTTTGAGCAATGTAGAACACTGAGTGATGAATAACAGCAACTTGCAGTGTTAGATCCTTTGAACTGAAGACTGCTTTCCATTGTGCCGGCTGCCAACAACCCCAACAGGTCATTTCACCAGAGCACACGGACACACCCTTGTTTCCTTGGCCAAGCTGTCTCCACCAGGGATTGTGGGGTGATGGTGTACTGCCTCTACACCAGTCAGCAACTCCTTTACAGAAGGGGAATCCTAGGCTGGGTTTATGGCTGCATGGTGAGGGCCATAGTGGGTCTGAGCATCAAAGCACACAGAGGGAGCGTGGAGGACAGCATGCATCAGAGCCTCCTGCAAAGGCCTGGAGACCTGGAAGCATGGTTCTCCCCAGCCTTACGACGAGTGGGGATTTTGTTACTACCGTGGACCTGCAGTGCCCAGTCCCACACCCAGGCCTTCCAGCCTCAGATGCAGTAAAGTGGCATTGTCACCGCTACCTGTGTAGTTTTACAACCCCCTATTTACAAACGGCTACTTCTCCTCAAGCATTTATCTGTAGGGTCTCTAGGCCCAGCTGGCTCCCGCTGGCGGCCACGGCACCTCTGAGGCTGCAGCCTACAAGGACAGACCATCCTGTGTGAGTGCAGCACCTGCAGCCCAGTAGGGTCCTGGCCCCTCCAGCCCCCCGGGGGCTACAGCAATGGGCCGGGCCCTGCTCCACCAGTGCCTGGCACCTAGCAGGCTGGCCTGGCCACAGGGGACCCCTACCACCTTTTCACTAGGGTGCCTGGGATTCTGCCCCTATTGGCCCCCTTGCACCAAGGGGCTCCCCTCTCCCCCTGCAGGGGGCAGCCCCAGGGTGACCCAGCCTCAGGGCCATCTGCTGCCTGGCTGGGAGGTACCACGTGATCACAGGCAGTGCCTGCCCCAGCCTATCCCAAGATGGCGGCAGCGGGAGGGCCGACGCGGTGACGTCACCAGGCACGCCGGGTGGGCTGATGCCGAGCCAGGGGAGGGCGTGAGCGTGATTCGGGAGGCGGCTACGGCAGCCGGTGGGGTCCAAGTCAGGTCTGCTCCGCGCCGCCAGTCCCCTCGCGGCTGCTGCTGTCAGACCGGCCGCTTCCTCGCCCGCCCCGCCGCCGCCATGGCCGGCTACGAGTACGTGACCCCCGAGCAGCTGGCCGGCTTCGACAAGTACAAGGTGCCTGCGGGCTGGGGGTGTCTGTGTGGGGAGCCCCGGGGGGGTGATGGGCCGGGGGGTCCGTGTGCGCTCCTGGGAGGTGATGGGCGGGGAGCGCCGGAGGGCGGGGGGGGTTCTGTGGGGGTGCCACGGGGGGGGGTCCGTGTGGGCTCCTGGGAGGTGATGGGCGGGGAGCGCCGGAGGGCGGGGGGGGTTCTGTGGGGGTGCCACGGGGGGGGGTCCGTGTGGGCTCCTGGGAGGTGATGGGCGGGGAGCG